CGCAGCTGGGTGGGTGGGGAACGCAGCTGGGTGGGTGGGAACGCAGCTGGGTGGGTGGGAAACGCAGCTGGGTGGGTGCGGAACGCAGCTGGGTGGGTGGGGAACGCAGCTGGGTGGGTGGGGAACGCAGCTGGGTGGGTGGGGAACGCAGCTGGGTGGGTGGGGAACGCAGCTGGGTGGGTGGGGAACGCAGCTGGGTGGGTGGGGAACGCAGCTGGGTGGGTGGGGAACGCAGCTGGGTGGGTGGGGAACGCAGCTGGGTGGGTGGGGAACGCAGCTGGGTGGGTGGGGAACGCAGCTGGGTGGGTGGGGAACGCAGCTGGGTGGGTGGGGAACGCAGCTGGGTGGGTGGGGAACGCAGCTGGGTGGGTGCGGAACGCAGCTGGGTGGGTGGGGAACGCAGCTGGGTGGGTGGGGAACGCAGCTGGGTGGGTGGGGAACGCAGCTGGGTGGGTGGGGAACGCAGCTGGGTGGGTGGGGAACGCAGCTGGGTGGGTGGGGAACGCAGCTGGGTGGGTGGGGAACGCAGCTGGGTGGGTGGGAACGCAGCTGGGTGGGTGGGGAACGCAGCTGGGTGGGTGGGGAACGCAGCTGGGTGGGTGCGGAACGCAGCTGGGTGGGTGGGAAACGCAGCGGGGTGGGTGGGGAACGCAGCTGGGTGGGTGCGGAACGCAGCTGGGTGGGTGGGGGGGGGGGAACGCAGCTGGGTGGGTGGGGAACGCAGCTGGGTGGGTGGGGAACGCAGCTGGGTGGGTGCGGAACGCAGCTGGGTGGGTGCGGAACGCAGCTGGGTGGGTGGGGAACGCAGCTGGGTGGGTGGCGGAACGCAGCTGGGTGGGTGCGGAACGCAGCTGGGTGGGTGGGGAACGCAGCTGGGTGGGTGGGGAACGCAGCTGGGTGGGTGGGGAACGCAGCTGGGTGGGTGCGGAACGCAGCTGGGTGGGTGGGAACGCAGCTGGGTGGGTGGGAACGCAGCTGGGTGGGTGGGGAACGCAGCTGGGTGGGTGGGGAACGCAGCTGGGTGGGTGGGGAACGCAGCTGGGTGGGTGGGAACGCAGCTGGTGGGTGGGGAACGCAGCTGGGTGGGTGGGGAACGCAGCTGGGTGGGTGGCGGAACGCAGCTGGGTGGGTGGGAACGCAGCTGGGTGGGTGGGGAACGCAGCTGGGTGGGTGCGGAACGCAGCTGGGTGGGTGGGGAACGCAGCTGGGTGGGTGGGAACGCAGCTGGGTGGGTGGGGAACGCAGCTGGGTGGGTGGGAACGCAGCTGGGTGGGTGGGGAACGCAGCTGGGTGGGTGGGGAACGCAGCTGGGTGGGTGCGGAACGCAGCTGGGTGGGTGGGGAACGCAGCTGGGTGGGTGGGGAACGCAGCTGGGTGGGTGCGGAACGCAGCTGGGTGGGTGGGGAACGCAGCTGGGTGGGTGGGGAACGCAGCTGGGTGGGTGGGGAACGCAGCTGGGTGGTGCGGAACGCAGCTGGGTGGGTGCGGAACGCAGCTGGGTGGGTGGGGAACGCAGCTGGGTGGGTGCGGAACGCAGCTGGGTGGGTGCGGAACGCAGCTGGGTGGGTGGGGAACGCAGCTGGGTGGGTGGGGAACGCAGCTGGGTGGGTGGGGAACGCAGCTGGGTGGTGCGGAACGCAGCTGGGTGGGTGGGGAACGCAGCTGGGTGGGTGGGGAACGCAGCTGGGTGGGTGGGGAACGCAGCTGGGTGGGTGGGGAACGCAGCTGGGTGGGTGGGGAACGCAGCTGGTGGGTGGGGAACGCAGCTGGGTGGGTGGGGAACGCAGCTGGGTGGGTGGGGAACGCAGCTGGGTGGGTGGGGAACGCAGCTGGGTGGGTGGGGAACGCAGCTGGGTGGGTGGGGAACGCAGCTGGGTGGGTGCGGAACGCAGCTGGGTGGGTGGGGGAACGCAGCTGGGGTGGGGGTGGGTGACGCAGCTGCAGCTGGGTGGGTGGGGAACGCAGCTGGGTGGTGGGGAACGCAGCTGGGTGGGTGGGGAACGCAGCTGGGTGGGTGCGGAACGCAGCTGGGTGGGTGGGAACGCAGCTGGGTGGGTGGGAACGCAGCTGGGTGGGTGGGGAACGCAGCTGGGTGGGTGGGGGGACGCAGCTGGGTGGGTGGGGAACGCAGCTGGGTGGGTGGGGAACGCAGCTGTGGGTGGGGAACGCAGCTGGGTGGGTGGGGAACGCAGCTGGGTGGGTGCGGAACGCAGCTGGGTGGGTGGGGAACGCAGCTGGGTGGGTGGGGAACGCAGCTGGGTGGGTGCGGAACGCAGCTGGGTGGGTGGGGAACGCAGCTGGGTGGGTGGGGAACGCAGCTGGGTGGGTGGGGAACGCAGCTGGGTGGGTGGGGAACGCAGCTGGGTGGGTGGGGAACGCAGCTGGGTGGGTGGGGAACGCAGCTGGGTGGGTGGGGAACGCAGCTGGGTGGGTGGGGGAACGCAGCTGGGGGGGGGGGAACGCAGCTGGGTGGTGGGGAACGCAGCTGGGTGGGTGGGGAACGCAGCTGGGTGGGTGGGAACGCAGCTGGTGGGTGGGGGGACGCAGCTGGGTGGGTGGGGAACGCAGCTGGGTGGGTGGGGAACGCAGCTGGGTGGGTGGGAACGCAGCTGGGTGGGTGCGAACGCAGCTGGGTGGGTGGGGAACGCAGCTGGGTGGGTGGGAACGCAGCTGGGTGGGTGGGGAACGCAGCTGGGTGGGTGGGGAACGCAGCTGGGTGGTTGGGGAACGCAGCTGGGTGGGTGGGGAACGCAGCTGGTGGGTGGGGAACGCAGCTGGGTGGGTGGGGAACGCAGCTGGGTGGGTGCGGAACGCAGCTGGGTGGGTGGGGAAGCGCTGGGTGGGTGGGGGGAACGCAGCTGGGTGGGGGCGGAACGCAGCTGGGTGGTGGGGAACGCAGCTGGGTGGGTGGGGAACGCAGCTGGGTGGGTGGGGAACGCAGCTGGGTGGGTGGGGAACGCAGCTGGGTGGGTGGGGGAACGCAGCTGGGTGGTGGGGAACGCAGCTGGGTGGGTGGGGAAGGCAGCATGGGCTGGGTGGGTGGGGAACGCAGCTGGGTGGGTGGGGAACGCAGCTGGGTGGGTGGGGAACGCAGCTGGGTGGGTGGGGAACGCAGCTGGGTGGGTGGGGAACGCAGCTGGGTGGGTGGGGAACGCAGCTGGGTGGGGGATGAGAGTGGTCGGACTGCGGCCGATGCCTTTTGAGTGACACTGGCCGTGTGACTGCAATTTCCTCCCCCACATTTCCATTCCACCTTGCTCACTCGTGAAATGGGATTCTGTCTGACCCATTCTCGCCTCTCCTCGCTGGCAATGCAGCTCACGAGGTCAATGCTGACGCCATTCTCAATAACACCTTCCCCAGGTATGCCTTCCTCCATCACTTGCCTCCCATCCTTCCTCCTTCCTTCCTTGCCGTTTACATCCCACATCATACTTCCTGGTATTCTGTCGCAACCACTCACAATCCTTCATAGTCCCTCACAATCCTTCATAGTCCCTCAAATCGCCAGTAACCCCACAACGTAATCCTTCCCGCCTCCCTGCTCCTTCTCTCCCCACTGCAGCTTTGTGGTTGATTTCTCCAAAACTTCCCTCTCTGGCCTTCCTCCCTTCCCCCCATTCACTTTGTGGTTGATTTTCTCCAAAAACAGGTGTGCCCGTCCTTCCCTCTTCCCACCCCTTTCCCAATTTACCTTTTCACCCACTCCCCCTCTCACCTCTTTCCGCTCCTCTCATAGCATGCTCTCCACACACACACACGTCACTCTGCCCTTGCTTTTCCTCCAATCCCACCTGCCCACCTTGCATCCCTCCCTTTCCCATCTTACATCCTTGCTGCTGCTCCCCTTCCCTCCATTCCCAACTCTCAATCCCCCCATCCCCCATTCCCCATCCCCCATCCCCTCCATCCATCCCCCCTTCCCCATCGCCCATCCCCCATCCCTTTTTTGTGCCTCCCCATGGGCCTGCCCGATCAGTTTCCGCGGGGAGACGTGCCGCAGTGGGTGCAGGCAGCCATGCAGGCTGCTGCCATTGACATTTCCCCAGCTCTGCACCTGGCCCGCGCACCTCCCAATGTCTGATTGACACACCTCAAAATGTCTGATTCACACACCTCAAAATGTCTCACATGTGATATAAGGCACCTTGCCAACTCCGCACCTTATAACGTTGCAACAACCTGCGCTGCTTCCGACGGTGTGGGTCTGGATTTTACCCCCCTTGTACAATCCATTGACGCTGTGAACCCTGTTTTTTTCCCTTTCATGGCCGCACAACAATCTGAGGACTGCATTTCACGGTTCATTGCCACCGCTTAGCATGTATGGTATATGGAATAACTGAGAATCTTCTTAGATTCATTGTAGTAAATGAAGTTACCTTTATCCCGTGCCAACATCCAGCGCGAACATCCAATGCACCTGCGCTCTACCAGTTGCATATGTGCTACCGTATGCATTGTTTGAACACGCCCTTGCTCTATTGTATGGTAGGTATCAGTTTGAATCAGCAGTGCAGCCTCGTTTTTCTCTTTTAATTGTGCTCTTCGCACCAAGCCAGGAGAATCTACACCCATGATTTTAAAATGCTATGTAGTCCTATTTGTTGGCATCACGTCTACAAATGGTTTTGACTTGAAATGCTTTTCGTGTGCTAGGGTGAACAAATTAGAGCCATGGTATCTTGTTAGGGATACACGACCTTCCGAAATTCTTGTATAGAGGATGAAGTTTGGTTTTTGAGTTCGCAGTACTAGCTGATGACTTGGTAGGAAGGAGAAGGAAACATCAGGAGATCTTTGTACCACGTGTAACCAAGCCAAGCATAATGGCCTAGCCACTGGCGTGCGCCGCCAATGACGCTAGGTGGGCTGAGAGCACTAGGCGGTAGATTAAAATCGGTAGTATTTATATTCTTTTAGCGTTGGTGTTGTAAATATGCGGAAATGCGGTGAACAGGCATTGTGAAATTGTGCATCGCAAGCGATATTGTCACAGCATGGACTCACGATGCTCTAGAAAGCAGTCCAGGCTATTGCCTACGCAGCTCCTGCCGTTTCTCTTCTTTTTCCTTCTGCTCACCTTGTCGCAATTTCGAGCCGACGCATCACCGGGTACGTGCGCCGTCGCCGGGGAATGCGACGCGAGTGGCGACAACGCAGCGGAAGCAGCAGCGACAACAGAAAAGGACGCGAACCTAACGGACCGTACAAATGTCGACGGCAAAACCGGTGAAGACGGGAACGCTCGCGTGGATCTGTACGCGTTATTGGCAGACGGACATGCCAAGGTGCTTTCAATGTCTTCACGCTCAATATATCGCCGCGCTCTTTCCATATTTGACGTGTGTTTGATCGGCGTCTTTCAGGCTCCCACGCATTTCCATTCCGTGCTTACCGCTTGCGTTTCATTGCGTGCTCAATGGTGCTCTATGATGCTCCACTGTGCAACACACTCATTCAATGGTGCTCTATGATGCTCCACTGTGCAACACACTCATTCAATGGTGCTCTATGATGCTCCACTGTGCAACACACTCATTCAATGTGCTCTATGATGCTCCACTGTGCAACACACTCATTCAATGTGCTCTATGATGCTCCACTGTGCAACACACTCATTCAATGTGCTCTATGATGCTCCACTGTGCAACACACTCATTCAATGTGCTCCATTCCGATTCGGCCTGCACCAATCTGATCTATTTTGCTCCTTTTAATTCATTCCGCTCCACCCTGGTCTATCCCTGTGTGGCCGTTCACATGCCTCTCATCATGCGGAACGGATCATGGGCTAACAGCTCAAGGCGAGGAACTATGAGGAGGCAATCGACTTGTACAACAAGGTCAGCATTCCTCTCCGTTCCCTTCCCTGTGGTATCTGAGGGGACCCTGACGTGAGTGCGCCGCTTGCTGCATGTCAGGGTCCCCTCCATCCGGTTGATTCACACTCACATCAAATCACCCCCTTGCCTTGTCGTCCTGTGACCCCCTCTCTCGCCTCCTATCAGCTGGACGCCGTTCTCCCCCCCTCTACGCCTCCTTGCTGCACGCCAGGGGTACCTTCCAGTTGACGCACACTCAAATCACCCCCCCCCTGCCATGTCCTCGTGTGACCCCTCCCTCCCTCCCTCCCTCCCTCCCTCCCTCCCTCCCTCCCTCCCTCCCTCCCTCCCTCCCTCCCTCCCTCTCTCGCCTCCTGTCACCGCTCAGCTGGACGCGGTTTCCTCCCTCTACGCCTCCTTGCTGCACGGCAGGGGTACCTTCCAGTTGACGCACACTTAAAATGACCCCCTTGCCTTGTCCTCGTGTGACCCCCTCCCTCGTCGCCTCTCACCACTCAGCTGGACGCGGTTCTCTCCCGCCTCTACGGCTTCATGCTGCACGGCAGGGGCGTTGCACGCTCCATGCTGAAGCAGCACCAGCAGGCGGCTCTTGACTTGAAGCAGGCGAGTTGGGTTGGGTTGGGTTGGGTTGGGTTATGGCGAGCACTGGAGGACTTTGCAACTATGCTGCCCAGTAACATGGTTAATTCGATCCATGGAAGGAAGGGGGATGCGCTTTTGCCATTCCAACTTCGTGAGAATTGCGCGAATCCCAGCCTGTGTGTGTGCGCCTGTGCTTGTGCGCCTGAGCTTGTGTGTGTGTGAGAGAGAGAGCATGTATGATATGATGTACCCACGACACAACACTCACCCTCTCCTTGTCTTTTGTGCTCACTGCAGGCAGTGGAGAAGCAGCCGCACAAGGCAAACTACTGGGTGGAGCTGGGGCAGGAGTACACACTTTTGAACGACTATGCCAACGTGAGTGAGCTGCTCGATGATTGAGACGACTCGGAAAAAAGGCAATAGTATTGTACTGGGTGGAGGTGGAGCTGGAGGTGGGGCAGGAATACTATGCACCATTCTGGACCACCATGCCATGTGAGTGAGCTACCCAATGCTGAGAGAGTCCGCTCAACAGAGAAGGCAGAGTACTGGGTGAACCTGGGGTAGGAATACACCCTTCTGAGAGACTACGCCAGCTGATGTGACTGAGGTGCTCTGCTGTTGAGTTGACATGGTAGGAGGACCTGGGGCAGGCAGCAGTACACCACCACACCATTTGGACAACCATGCCAATGCGAGGGAGCTGCTCAACGCTTGGTGATATTGTCAGAAATAGGCTTAGAAGCGATGCATTAGTAATGAGCTTGAAGCTCTTTAAGTACATCCAAGAGGGGTAGGAAAAGGATGGGGAAGGGAATCGGGGGCAATCTCTAGGGATTGGGGGTAATCCCAAGGCAATCTCCAATTGGTGGGTTGGAGATTGGTTGGAGATTACATTTGGGTTTGGTTGGGATGTAGGTGTACACCCAACCAAACACAATGTGCAAACTACACTACTCTAGGATATAGAAAATACAAAGTACAAATTGTGAGATTGAAGACTAACACTAACACCCGCGTCAATCGAACGCAGGGTAGAGAGGGTGGAGCACAGAGCCCCATGGCGCCAAGGAGACGGTGGTGGGGAACTTTCCCAAGGGGCTTGGTGAACAGATCAGCCAGGTTGCAGTCAGATGCAACGTATTCCACTTTCAACTGCTCTTGTTGGACAAGGTCACGGATGAAGAAGTGCCGGAGTTCAATGTGCTTGGTGCGGGTGTGATACACAGGGTCTTGAGAGATGTGGATGGTACTCTGGTTGTCACACCAGAGGGTAGGGGCGGACTGTGGGAAACCAAGTTCCTGGAGGAGGAAGGTGAGCCAACGAGCCTCCTGAGCAGCCATGGTGCCTGCGTAGAGCTCTGCCTCACATGAGGAGAGGGAGACTGCAGACGACCTGGTGGAGCGCCAACTGACAATTCCGCTCCCAAGGGTGAAGCAGTACCCCTGAGAGGAGCGTCGGTCGGTCTGGTCATCAGCCCAGGAGGAGTCGGTGTAACCCTCTAGGCGAGGAGGGGAGAGCCCACCGAGTGTGAGGACGTGAGACTTGGTGCCCTGAAGATAGCGCAACACCCGCTTGGCTGCCTTCCAGTGAAGATCAGTGAAGCGTCCAGGGGCCACGTAGCGAGAGAGGACACTGACAGGATAGGCCAGGTCTGGCCGGGTGCACATCATGGCGTACATGAGGGACCCAACAAGCTCCGGGTATGGCTCAGAGCAGGCCTCTGGTGTGGGTACCGCTGGAGCTGTGAGGAGGTGTTGCAGCGGCAGCGGGGTGGCAACAGGTGTGCATAGCTCCATCTCAAATCGCTTGAGCACATTGTCGATGTAGAACTCCTGGGAGAGTGAGATGGTGCGAGCCTTGCGATCACGAGTGATCTCCATCCCCAGGTAGTGCTTGAGGTCACCGAGGTCTTTCATCTGGAGAGCCTTGCTTAGGGCTGCCTGGACTGAGGTCATCTGGGCCGAGTCCTTGGCCACGAGGATGAAATCATCCACGTAGACTAGGATGTAGAAGGGCTCAGAATGACGGCGGATGAAGAGAGTCGGGTCAGCAGTTGAAGGGTGGAAGTCCAGGGAGAGGAGGACTTCTTTCACCTTGTTGTGCCATTCGCGAGGGGCTTGCTTAAGGCCGTAGACGGGGCGATTCAGCTTCCAGACAGTGTTGGGAGGGAAATCTCCTGGGAAGCCTTCTGGTCTGTCCATGAACACTGTCTCCTTGAGACGTCCTTGTAGGAAGGCGGATGAGGCATCCATGGATTTGATCTCGAAGTCTTCTCGAGCTGCGACATCCATGAGCGTACGAATGGTGGGAGGTTTGGATGTGGGGGAGAAGGTTAGGAAGAAGTCGCGGTACTGCTGCTGGGTGAAGCCCTTGGCTACGTAGCGCGCTTTAAACACCGGTGCCTCGTCTGGGAGCTGTTTTACACGGAACAACCACTTGCCCCCGACGATGTTGACTCCTGGAGGTGGAGTCTCGTCGTCGAAGGAGTGGTTGCGGGTGAATGCTGCAATCTCCGCGTCCATGGCAGCACGCCATTTGGCAGAATGAGGGCCTGAGAGAGCCTCTTGGACGGTGAGAGGGATAGGGATGGTCGGGTTCTCCGCGAAGTTGAGGGAGGGTGAGCCAGTGATGTCGGGGAAGATGTGTGAGAGCTGAGGAAGGACTGCATGGAGATCACACAGTTCCTCATGCCTGTCTTCTAGAAGGGTAGAGGGCACATCCCCCCCAGCAGGAGGAGGCGGTGTGATCGCGGTGTATCGAAGAACCATCGCGAGTGGAAGAGTAGCGCGATGTGAGCGAGTGCCATGAGCCACCGGGGAAGAGGGTGGGGCTGGCGGGGTCGGAGAGGGTGACTTAGCAGGCTTGGGCGGGGGAAGGGGTCGCCGGCGGTACGTGATCAGCTCGGGCGACTGTGGGAGAGCGGGTTCCTCTGTGGTGGGGGGAGCCGGGGGAGGAGGTGGGGCCGGAGGGTGGGACCGCCGATGGTAGGTGATAGGTGCGCTCGGAGGGGGCGGCGCAGCGGGAAGTGGGGAAGGTGAGGGGGAGGGAGGAGCAGCTGCCGAAGACACCGGTGAGGCCGGGTCAGTGACCTCAGAGGGAGATGGTGCGATGGCAGGAGAGGGAGGAGGTGAGGGAGCAGGAGCAGGCGGGAGGTCGGGAGGCGCATCAAAGTCTGCCCACACGAGGGAGGGTGGATCAGGGAGAGGGTCCCGTCCCGAAGGGGAGTAGAATGGGCGGGTCTCATCAAAGACAACGTCACGGCTCCTGACCAACTGGTGAGTGGAGGGATTGAGGAAGAGGTAGTCAGGTGAGTCGGCGTTGTGCCCGAGGTAGATGCACGTCTGAGTCTTGGGACCGAGCTTGCCACCGTTATGCCGTCGAGCCTGAGGGTTGAGGAGGACATAGGCGGTGCATCCCCAAACGCGAAGAGAGCGAGCAGTGGGCGTTTTCCCGAGCCAGAGTGTGGTTGGAGTGGTGTCGGGAAGGTGCGGGTGGGGGTAAAGGTTGTAGAGGAGGGCAGCGTGGTAGAGAGCGTACCCCCAAAGAGAGTGAGGAGCGTTGGAGTGGCTGAGGAGGCACCGAGTGATCTGCACCAGGGTGTGGTTGCGGCTCTCAGCTATGCCGTTCTGTTGAGGGCTGTCAGGGAGGGTGAAGTTTTGCTGGATGCCTTCGGAGGAGCAGAAGGCTTTGAGCTTGTCGTTGCAGAACTCACCCCCCCCATCCGAGTGAAGGCGCTTGACCTTGCGGTCAAAAGTGGTCTGTGCCTGCTTGACCCACGCTATGATGACCTCGGGTGCCTCAGCCTTAGTGTGGAGGAGGTGAACAGAGACATAGCGGGAGTGGTCATCCACAATGATAAGGAAGTAGCGATAGCCACCTCGTGCGAGAACAGGGGCAGGGCCCCAGACGTCCATGTGCACGAGGTCCAGTGGTGCTGCAGCGATTGTGGGTGAGGCAGCATGGGGTTGTTGGCGCAGTTTGCTCTTGGTGCAATCAAGGCACGTGGGAGCTGGTGAGTCAGGTGGTGGGGGAAGTGCGGCTGGCAGGCCGAGGAGAAGTTTCTTGGAGGCCATGTCAGCAAGAGTGCGGAAATTTGGGTGCCCGAGCCGATGGTGGTAGAGGATGGTCGGGTTGGAGAGGGTGCGACATGAGCATGGTGTGATAGTGGCCTGTGCTTGGGTGGTTGACACCTGTGGGAGAGGGACGCGTAGCGTGTAGAGGCCGTTGCTGTTGAGGGTGTAGCGGGCCAGAGTTTTGTTGGTGCGTGGATCGATGATGTCGCAATAGTCCTCGTTCTCTGGGAAGATGGTGCGTAGCCCTGCCTCCTGAATTTCTGTTTGGGCAACTAGATTGTGACGCAGTGAAGGCACGCACATGCCAGTGACAGTGCCGGATGGGAAGGCGGGGCATGGGACTGTGGAGGTACCCTTGGCGAGGGTGGTGAAGCTTGAGTCAGCTCCTAAGAGAGGGATAGGTGTTGGGTAAGGTTTGAAGGAGAGGGTCTCCTTGAGCACGGTGTGAGTGGCCCCGCTATCGAGTGTGAACTCTATGTATTGTGGTGCGTGTGATGAGCCGATGTACTGTGAGGTAGCTTCATTAATCATGGCAGTGCCAGGGAACAACAGGTTGATACGCACATCAGCAGGAGCAGCATCACTAGCACTAGTCGAAGCGGGGTCCTGGACCTCAACTAGGTTGGCCTTGCGAGAGCGCATCCAATTCGGCGGCTTCTTGTCCACTCCGTGAATGGCGTACCATTCGTCGTCTTTCTTCTTGAAGCACGTGGCGAGGGGGTGGTTAGTGCCACCACACACTTGTCCCTTGCGATTCCCATACTTGACGACGTAGGGGCACGGAGGAAAGCGGTTGCGCTGGAAGGGCGCCGAGGCGAGAGCCGCTGCGACACTTGCTTGAGGCATGGGAGCGCGGATAGCGTACGCCTTGGCCTGAGCCGTGGAGTCTTTCTCGGCAGAGAGGAGTGCGGTGGAGACCTTAGCAAAGGTGAGGTCCTCTGCTGAGAGTGTGAGGAGCATCTTCCTCGTGACCTCATATGCCGAGGTGAGTCCAACAAGTAGGGCGGCTGCAGGGGCTTGCTCGGGGAAGACTATACCCAGCTCCTTGAGTTCGCCATGAATGGTCTGCACCTTGGCAATGTAATCGGCCATTCCCGAGCAGTCCTCAAGGCGGACCTGAAACATGCTAGGGATGAGAATGGCCACGCCGACCGCCGTCTTGTTCATGAACCGATCCTGGAGGTACTTCCAGATGGCGTTGGAGGTAGGGTAGTTATGGAACGTGTTGACAAGTTCGGGAGGGGTGGAGGCGATGAAGACGCTGATGATGGCAGCATCGGCCTTCTCCCATTTCCGGTACTTCTCAACAGCCTCCTCGTACGCCCTCACGTCAGTATCACTTGGAGATTCGGTCGGCTCACGGGGAATAGTAGGCTGTTTCCCCTTGCCACGGTTGAGGAGGACGTCCTTGAGGTCAAGGCCCTGCACGTCACGGCTCAGGAGGTGCTTGTCAACTCCGTAGCTCCACGCCTTGAAGTTGGAGCTAGAGCCATCAGCTTCAAGGCGGAGCGGGGTGATGGGGTTCGCCATGGTGGAAGACGAGAGAGCCATGGTGGAGACCCCTTCTCGCGCGGAGCGCCGCTCTTAAGTCACCGATAGGAACTTCGACGGACCGGAATAGCGAAAATCGTCAATGTCGGCCGCGTCGGAATGTCACGTAGAAGGTTTTTTTTTTTTTTCTTTTTTTCCTTTTCAGGCCGCCAAAATTAGGTCGAATCGGCCGATTTCCGTAGATCTATCACTAATCCCACACATCCCCCCACACACCACCCTCGGCTTCGCGGCTACACGGCTGCTCTGCTTCGCGGCTACACGGCTGCTCGGCTGCGCTGCTGCACCTGTTCAGCTGCGGGAAGGGGGAAGGGGTAGGAGTGCAGATGCGGGGCGACGGGCGGCAGCCCGACGTGAAGCTGCGGGGCGACGGGCGGCGGCCCGACGAGAAGCTGCAGGGCGACGGGCGGCAGCCCGACGAGAAGCTGCGAGGCGACGGGCGGCGGCCCGACGTGAAGCTGCGAGGCGACGGGCGGCGGCCCGACGAGAAGCTGCAGGGCGACGGGCGGCAGCCCGACGAGAAGCTGCGAGGCGACGGGCGGCGGCCCGACGAGGAGGAAAGCGAGCGTTAGGTTATAGCGCGGACGATGCGCTTACCAGATAAATTACCGTCGAAAGTGACGGGAAGGTGCAGCGGGAAAATTTCCGCCGACGAATGTCGCGAATCACCGGCGACGAGGTTGACGATGGCTTCGCCGAGGTTTGCGGGACGAGTATCCGCAGAGGTAAGAAGATCACGATCCGCGTATGCGGTTGAAGGGCTCTGATACCATGTCAGAAATAGGCTTAGAAGCGATGCATTAGTAATGAGCTTGAAGCTCTTTAAGTACATCCAAGAGGGGTAGGAAAAGGATGGGGAAGGGAATCGGGGGCAATCTCTAGGGATTGGGGGTAATCCCAAGGCAATCTCCAATTGGTGGGTTGGAGATTGGTTGGAGATTACATTTGGGTTTGGTTGGGATGTAGGTGTACACCCAACCAAACACAATGTGCAAACTACACTACTCTAGGATATAGAAAATACAAAGTACAAATTGTGAGATTGAAGACTAACACTAACAGATATGACTCAATAAGGAAGGTTCTGAGAATTCTTGAAAGAGCGATTGGAGGATCTGGTCTGGGCGGGGAGACGAACACTCCATTTTTCTCTCTTGCATCAAGCGTCATGCGTCACCAACCTCCATCAGGCCCACAGCGCCTTTGTCAAGGCTTTGGAGCCAAACCCCCACAACGGCAGTTGGTTTTTGAGGTTTCCCTTAAGCCTCCTCTCTTGCTCCCTGTGTCATGCGTCCTTTCCCCCCCATGCCTTGCACACCCGCATCAGGCCCACAATGCGTTTGTCAAGGCAGTGGAGCTCGACCCCTACAACGACAAGGCCCGGCGGTTCCGAGGTAAGGCAAGGAAATGCCGCGTTGGGAAGGAAAAGCTCGTGCATTTGCTCGAATAGCACACCATCACACCACCACATATGCAGCTGTTTATTATCACACAGGTGGCGTACTCGCTTCACTGCTGCGCCTCCCTCATCTACCCGTCCTCCTACCCCGTGCCCTCCACATCCCCCACTCATCACAGGCATGAGTGCGTTTGAGATAGAGCACTACGCAGCAGCACTCGACGACCTCGTCCCTGCACTCACCCGTGACCCGACCAACACCCAGCTGCTCACGCAGGTCGGGAACTCGCTGCTGCGCCTGAACCGCTACCGCGAGTCACAGCCGTTCTGGGAGGCGGCTGTACAGGCGGACCCAGGGGAGGCAAGCCCAGAGGAGGGCGAGGCGTGGGTGCAGAAGGGCATCACACACCGCATCCTGGGCGAGGCGGACAAGGCTGTGGACTCGCTGCTCATGGCGCTCTCTGTGCAAGAGTAGGTGCCAGGGGTGGGGTAGGGTAGGGTGGGGTGGGGTAGGGTGGGGTTGGTGGGTGGGAGTGAGTGGCTGCTGTCTTTTCCTCTGCCTGTGGGCGAAGTTTTAGCTTCTTATCTCTGTTTTTTCCCCTGTGTGGTTGTGTGTGGTTGTGCATGATTGTGTGTGGTTCTGCGTGGTTGTGTGTGGTGACAGGAACATTGATGCATACCGCAACCTAGTCGCCACGAGGCGCTATCAAGGGGATCACTGGTGAGCCAGGGAAAACGGCTTTCAATAGTCCTACAGTACACCCAGCTGATGAAAATTGCTTCTAATGGTCTTCTAGTACACCCAGCTCTACACCATGAACCATCAAAAGCCTTGCGCTCTGAATAAGGGTTGGTTCTGTTCTGTGTGTGTCTGTCACCATGCTACAGATGAGTGCTGCAGCTAGCAATGGCTTGGTTTCCCTTGGTGCTTTCCACAGCAGCACATGTTCTCAGCTCTCTCTTGCATCCCCCCCATCGACCCCCTTCGCCCCAACCAGCCACACACGAATGCCATAGAGCTGACTACTAACTCGACTCAGAACACACCCCACCCATCTCCACCCCTCTGCACCCCAACCAACCGCACAGGGGCGCCATAGAGTGGTGCAACAAGGGCTTGGCGTTTAGCCCAGAGGACAGCGAGCTGCTGTACGTGCGGGCCTCCATGCACCACGCCCTGGGCGACCATGCTGCAGCCGTGAGTCACTGCTGCTACGCATGTGAATGCTACAGATGTTGATGGTACAGATGTGGCCGCTATGGCTATCAAGGCTGCTCAATATGCGAGCCTCCATGCAACATGCCCTGGGCGACCATGCCACAGCCGTGAGTCACTGTTCCTGCAGATGTTGGTGCTCCGTCCTCCCACACCCCTCTCTGCTCTCTGCCTACAACCATCGCATGCCAACTCTTGAGTCAACTCAAAAGTCACTGCGTGCTGCGCTCCCTCTGTCCTCTGACTGCTTCGTCTGCTTTGTTCCCTCTGTCACTCTTTCCCTTCGTCCCACTGCCCTCTCTGCATCTCTCCATCTGTCCCTCTGTCCCGCTTTCCTCTGTCCCGTGCTCATCTCTCCCACGCTCTTCTGTCCTTCGCAGCTCTCCTTTTACGACCATCTCCTTGCAACAGCCACAGAGCAGCACATGACATTCAACCAGGCAGTCGCCTTTTACCAGGTAGGTACCATCCACCCCTCGCCTTTTACCAGGTAAGTACCATCCACCCCTCGCCTTTTACCAGGTAGGTACCATCCACCCCTCGCCTTTTAAAAGGTAGGTACCACCATCCACCCCTCGCCGTTCGAGAATTCTCAAAAGCGGCCGCAGAGCAGCACATGACGCTCAACCAGGCAGTTGCCTTCTACCAGGTAGGTTCCATCCACCCCTCTCCTTACCTGCTCGTTCCTCCTGCTCGCCCTGTCTGCGCGTCGTCCCTGCTCGCCCCGCCCGTGTCCTCTCGTCCTTCCTGCTCGCTGCCCTGTGTGTTTCCCTGCTTAAATAAGCATTTTTCCTATCAAGGGGAGGGAGGTGCTGCTGTACATAGTGCCCTAGCTGCACCTGCCCTTTTCAACATAACACCCTCTCCTTCCTGCTCGCTCCTTTGCTTGACCTTTTGCCAATGCTCTTCTCTTCTGATTGCTCCTCCATCAGCGGGAGGTGCTGCTATACACGGTGGCGCGGCTCGACCAGCCCTTCTCAGCCTTTCAGATAGACGACGACATGGATGTGGACTTCAAGGTGTGTCTGTACCATGCCATGCCATGCAGTGACTTTAAGGTCGACTAAAAAGTCAACTTGAGAGTCAACGCAAGCGTCGACTCAAAAGTCACCGGCCCTTCTTAGCCTTCAAGTTAGACGATGACATGGACGTGGACTTTAAGGTTTGTGCTGCCTTGCCTACTGATGGCTTTTCCCAATCGACCGGCCTGGCCTTGGATGGCAACGTAGTTGAAAGAGTCCTGGTTGTCTCGACTTGAAAGGGCAAAGTGGCTGGTATTCGTCGTTTTTGTACAGAGCGGCTCTGATCAGGTTGGCCTTGGTTGTTGACTCACATTGACTTTGCCTGGTTTTCGCTATTGACTGGCGTTGACTGGCGTTGACCTGGCAGGTGGCGTGGCTTAACAGGAGGGTGCCCCCTGGCCTGCCAGACTACCAGAACCTCTCTGTCTCTACCAGCCAATTGGAGCGCGCCACGTGGCAGTTGCTGCCACAGCTGTCAGAGGAGGCGTTGGCTGTGATCGCAGCGGCTGATGAGATTGGCTGGCGGGCCCACTACGATACGGATGGCGTGATGCCAAACAAGCAGCAGGTGAGACACGTGGCACCAAGTCCAGCTGTCCGGGTATGACACGTGGCATCATGTCCAGCTGTCACACGACGCGACCTCCACGTGGGATGCCTTTCCCACCCACCCCTTCCTCCTCAACCCGTTCATCTCCTCCTCCTCCCCCTCCCTCCTTCCCCACAATCCTCCCACCCATCTCAGCTGCGCATGGCAGGGCTGGCAGCCCTAGACGTGATGCAGCGGGTGCGGGCCACATGGGAGGCCATAGCAGACGGGGGGCGCCTGCCCAGCATCGTGAACGACGAAGACGAGGAGGAGGAGGGGGGAAGGGGAGAGGACGAGGGAGACAAGGACGGCGAGGGCCCATGGGACGGGCTCACGTCGCCTCCTCGGATGCCGTGGAGTCGTTTTTCAGGCAGCGGTGGGAGCAGTGGTAGTGGTGGGAGCAGTGGCAGTGGTGGGAGCAGTGGGAGTGGTGGGGACGGTGGGAGTGGAGGGAGTGAGTCCGTGCAGCTGGTGGGCAGCTGGAGGCAGCTGTTCCAAGTCATGGTGCCGTGGAGACAACTCTCCGACCCCACTGAGCCTCCGCTCTGGAAGGCCATGTTCAAGTAAGTCCATCCCTGCTGCTTCGGCTCACTCCCTCGTGTCTGCTCCCTGCCTCTTTCCTGCTCGCTGCTGGCCTTTCTACCTCCCTTCCCTTCCCTTCCCTTCCCTTCCCTTCCCTTCCCTTCCCTTCCCTTCCCTTCCCTTCCCTTCCCTTCCCTTCCCTTCCCTTCCTTTCCCACCCCACCGAATCTCCCCTCTGGAAGGCCATGTTCAAGTCCGTCCGTCCCAACCCCCCCTCCCCACTACCTCCCTGCCTCTCACCTGCTCGCTGCCGCTGTTTGTACTTTACCTTTCCATTCCCATTTCCTTAGCCATAGCCCGATTCGCTGAACATGTGGGTGTGTATATGATTGCGCTGCGCCTTGAGTGTTCTCCCCTTAATCCCCTCTGTCTTAAGCTACCTTCTTCTCATTCACCCTTGTGTGCGGGCCCCCCTTTCCTCCCCCTGCCCCTGCCACCACTTACAGGAACCAGCGCTTCCAGGGTAACTTTCAATCGTTCACTCCAATCCACACGTGGAAGCAGCTCAGCGCCAAGTACAATGCCATCTATGACAGGTGTGCCCTTTTGCTACCCCCACAACATTGTACTTGTGCCCTTGTGTTATCCTTTTGTTGTGCTGCCCCCACTCGCAGGAACCAGCGCTTTCAGGGGAGCTTTCATTCGCACACTCCCATTCACACGTGGAAGCAGTTCAGTGCCAAATACAATGCTATCTACGATAGGTGCGGGGCCATGTAGACGGGTTTTGAGACGTCTCGATAATCTCGCACAAGAAGCACTTAACCGCCAATTACAATGCTGTCTATGACATGTGCGTGCGGTGCCCAGTAGACCGATGCACATGCTGGCCTCGTTTCTTCAAGCAGACAAACGGTTTACTTACGGCTTGTGGCTTGTGCTGCTTGTGGCTTGTTAACCCTGCTGCTTCTTGCCACTCAGTCCCCATCCAACTCTCCCCACCTTTCTCCCTTTCCACTGCCCTGCCCTCACCACTGCCTCGCTGTGTGTGAGCCCATCAGGGCAGTGGAGGTGACGCGGAGGGGGCTACTGGAGGGGCAGCAGGCACTGGACGAGGACAGCAACGATATTCTCTGAGTTGACTCAAACATCACCAGTGGCTGCACTCCACCCACCTCTCCCTATATTTTCTCCTCTTCCTCACACTCTTTCCCCCCCACTGCTTCACTTTGAGCCTATCAGGGCAGTGGAGGTGACACGGCGGGGGCTGCTGGAGGGGCAGGAGGCATTGGATGAGGATGGCAACGTTATCCCTGTCCCCCGTGACGTGTACGGACCCAAGGTGCGGTGTATCTTGAGTTTCTAGCCGGAGAGGATCAGTCTTTGCTTGGAGGCAGGAGGTACTGGACGAGGATGGCAACGTTATCCCTGTCCCCCGTGACGTGTACGGACCCAAGGTGAAGCGCGACTCTCGAGATATTTATGCCTGCCTCAAGGGTCACCTTGTTACAGTGCTATTATGCCATGAAGGCAGCAGGGTCCCATGAGATGAGAGGCTGTACAATGCTTCATTGTGCTCCTCCTTACTGCTCTTTCCATCCCTGCGCTTCCCTGCTTTGTGTGAGGCAGATAGAAGCAGCAAAGGGCCATGAGGGGCTGTACCATGCAATCGGTCGGGACTTCTACCTGTGCCTGCCCTTGCACAGCATGGCCAACCCTGGGTCAGTTGATCCATCAGTTGAGTCGACTCAACTGTCGGCACCATGGCAGTTTTTCGCTCGACTAAACATTCTGTACCAAGCTGATTTCTGAGTCGACTCAAGAATCTGTACCATGCGATCGGTCGGTACTTCTACCTGCGCTTGCCCTTGCACAGTATGGCCAACCCTGGGTCAGTTGATTTGCAACGTGATGTGAGCGTGCTGATACGTGCTCGCATATCAGCATGGCCCACCCCTACCTCCGTCCTGCTGGGTTGCGCACTCGATGTCACCTGTGTGCTCGCATGATGGGAGATGTTTGTTTGATATGCCAATTCCTGGCTGCATTCCTGTTTGATATGTTTGTTTGTCCCCACCCCCCTGTCTCCAACTCTGGCCCCTCTTTCTCGTTCAAATGCCCCTTTTCTCCCTCCCTCGCAAGCAGGACCATTCTGCACGGGACAGAGTTCAAGCTGGAAAAGAAGTAAGCACTCACCTCCCTGCACCTCCTCTCTCTATCTCCCTCTCATGCCGTTCTTGCAATTCCAAAACCTCGCTGTCCCATGCTACCCTCCTTGCTACCCACGCTTCATCCCCTGTTTCGCCCCTGCGACCCCCCTGCTCTACCCAATCCATTCCGTTGTTCCAACCCTCTCCTCCAATCTCGCCCGCCGTTCTGCCTGACCACCCTGCAGTCCGGCTCCTCAGGGCGCTGTTGATTGGCTTTCTGACGTACTCCAATGACTCTGCTACCCCCCTGCTCCTCCCTATTCCCCATTGTTTCAACACGTTCCCCCAACTGCGCCCACCCGTTCACTCCACCACCAACTGTCCTCCCCACCACCCATCCTCACCCCACAGAGCACTGTTGATTGACTTCCAGACATACACCAAGAACTCTGTTATCCCCCTGCTCCACCCAATCCATCCCGTTGTCCGAACTGCGTCCACCCACCCATCCTGCATGCCTCGCTCCACAGGGCGCTGTCGATTGACTTCCAGACATACACCAAGAACTCTGCCACGCAGTGGGGTCAGCTGGATGACGAGCTCACTGCCGCCTGGGAGGTCAGCGCTGCCATTGCTCATACTGCTACCTGTGCTGCTGGTGCTGGTGGCGCTGGTGGTGCCTTGCTGCTGCTGATACTGGTGGTGCTGGTGCCTGTGCTTCTGGTGCTGGTGCTGGTGATGGTTCTGCTGATAGTGTTGCTTGTGCTGCTGGTACAGGTGCTGGCTGTGCTGCTGACGCAAGCAGTGGAAGTGCGGGTGGTAGGTGCGCTGATGGCAGTGTTAATGGTTGTACTTCCAGGCACCACACTCCCCTTATAACTCATTATCCCCTCTCCCTCTCCCTCTCCCTCTCCCTCTTCCCCGTGTAACTCGTCACCAACCCAGAGCCTGTCAGCAGCAGTGTTAGATCTACCCACGACGGCCACGGACAGCAGCCTGTACCAGCAGCACATTCAAGAGTGCATTCTGCTCATCAGCTACTTCTTGTTCCAGCGCATCCCTCTGCCTCACAACTCGGCCACTTTGAGGCTCTCATTTCACTCCTCTCCCGCTCTCTCTCCCTCTGTCCCGTGCAACTCTGCCCCAACTCAGAGCCTCTCAGCAGCGGTGCTAGATCTACCCACGCGGGCCACAGACAGCAGTCTGTACCAGCAGCGCATCAGAGAGGGAATTCTGCGCATCAGCTACTACTGGTTCCAGCTCATGCCGCTGTCGCGGGGTTCGGCCATGGTGGGGCTGGTTTCCATCCTCGGCCTCTCCATGGCTGCTGACATGCAAACCACAACGCGCATCCCAAGGGATGTCCTGGTGAGTCCAGTCTAGTGCTGCTGGTAGCGCTTCCGCTTTCCATCTCTCCATATTTTCATGTGAATCGCTCTCGCATTCAAAAGGATGTATGGTAAATGACATGCACCACCACATCGCGAGGCGTAAGGATTGTTTCTTGGCTTGCTTGCTTTTCTAAAAGTATTTACATTTATTTTGGGAGGTAAAATCTGCTTGCTGGTGTGTGTCAGGTTGACTGGGAAGGGCTGTTTGCAACTCGCTTTCAAGACTTCTACGATGCGGTTGCTCCATGGCTCTATTCTTCTGTTAAGCGGCCGCCTTGGCACCTCCCTATTGTGCGAGAGGTGCTGCCAACCACACGCCACGTACTGGCTGCTCTGAGTTACAAATGATGTGTGTCCTGGTGTTGGTTAATCTACGTAAGTTTCATGTGATGCAATGTGTGCTATCTAGGGTGATAAAAATGATTACTTATTTAGTAGAAGCTTTTCCTGAATACACTTCTCTCCTTCTGTGAAGTGGTTCGCGGCCGTGCCTCGATGTTGGTTGCGTTGCTGATCCTATCCAGTGCGCATGATGTTAAAATGTTATATGTTGGTAGGTTGTAGTGGGGTAGCCAATATGGGGTACAACCCCAACTAGGGTTTGCTACTTGTACCCAACTGTTTCATTCAATGCATCATTCTTACGCTAGTATCTGAAATGGTAATCAGAGCAGGTGGTCCCTAGGACCATCCGATCGTTTTTTTTTAGGGCCCACCACCGCACGCTGCGGTTACCGCGTTACCCCCGCGCCCTACCCTCGTAGCGCCCTCGTTGCGCCCTAGCGCCCTCGTAGCGCCCTTGTAGCGCCCTCGTGCGCCCTGCCGACCGGCGTCCTGCCAGCCCAGAGCCTTGCGCGCCTCCCCCCCCTCCCCTGCTTTGCCCGTCGCGCCGCCCGCTCTGCCCCGCGCTGCCCGTCGCGCTGCCTCGCAGCCCCGCGCACCGCCCGCTGTGCCCCGAGCCGCCCGTCGATCTGCTGCGCAGCCCCGCGACCCGCCCGCCCTGCCCCGCGCTGCAGCCCCGCGCGCCGCCCGCTCTGCCCCGCGCAGCCCGTCGAGCTGCCTTGCAGCCCCGCGCGCCGCCCGCTGTGCCCCGCGCCGTCCGTCGCGCTGCCCGCTCGCCCGCCGCGCTGCCCGCTTGCAGCGCCGCCTGCCCGCCGCGCTGCCCGCCTGCAGCGCCGCCTGCCTGCCGCACTGCCCGCTCGCAGAGCCGCCCGTCCGCCGCGCTGCCCGCTTGCAGCGCCGCCTGCTGCTCCCTGCCCGTGCGCAATTGCCCACCCCTGCTGCGGCCGCTTGCGTTGCTCTGTCGCACTGTCGCTATGGCTTCCATCCGCGTGCTGTCGTTCGATGCTGAGGGCCGCCCTGTGCAGTTCACCACTTGGCTAGATGACCTGCAGCTGTTCCTCCTGAGCGATAGCAAGGAGCATGTGTCGCTCTATGATTATGCGTCTGGTGCTGCGCCTGCCCCTCCTGCCACAGCTGAGCTTAGTGTTCGTTCCCACTGGCAGACTCGTGACGCAGCTGCTCGCCTAGCCATTCGCAGTCACCTGCCGTTAGCTGAGCTCGAGCATTTTGGCGACTGCAAAACCGCTAAGGCCCTGTACGACGCTGTCGTTGCTCGCTACTCCTCACCTGCCACAGCCGAGCTTAGCCGCCTCATGCTGCCTTACCTGTTCCCTGAGCTGTCCACCTTTGCTACAGTCGCCGATCTTATCACCCACCTTCGCACTAGTGACGCTCGCCTGCGTGCCGCCCTTCCCACCGAGTTCTGCGCTAAGAACCCCCCTCCACTGTACTGGACACTCCACTTCATAGTCACCCGTCTCCCTGACACCCTCAGCTCAGTGCGCGACTATTTCCTTGCTCGCTGTCCCACTGAGCTCACTGTCGCCCTCCTAGAGGAGAAGCTGCTAGCAGCCGAGAAGAGCATTGTAGCTGTAGGTGCTGCTCGCGGCGCTCCTCGCACCCCCATCTTTGAGGGGTGCTCTCCCTCTCCCCTCGCTCCCTCCTACGCTACTGCTGCTGCTGTTGACTTCCTTGGTGCTGAGTCTACTGGCGCTGCTTCTGCTCCTGGTGGGAGGCGCCGCACCGGCAAGGGCAAGGGGGGCAAGGGTGGCGGGGGTGGCGCTGGGGGGGGAGGAGGTGGGGGAGGTGGGGGGGGAGGCGGTGCTGGAGGGAGCGGTGGCGGGAGTGCTGGTGGGAGTGGGGTCGGCAGCGGAGGCGGGGGCGGCGGAGGGAGCGGTGGCGGTGGTGGCGGCGGCGGCGGTGGCGGTGGCGGCGGTGGCGGTGGCGGCGGTGGCGGTCGGAGCGGAGGTAGTGGTGGCGGCGGAGGTCGGAGTGGAGGCACCGGCTCGGGCCAGAGCTCCCAGCAGCAGCAGCGTCCCCAGACGACCCAGCAGCTTCATGAGTGGCTTGCTCAGCGTGGGACGTCGGGGGGCAGTGGCCGCTGTTCCTATGTCATTCGCACAGGTGACCGCAAGGGACAGACGTGTGGGAGGTTCCACACCCCGTACCGCTGCTTCTCCCGCCTTGACGACGCTTGGCGTGAGGAGATCGGCGAGGATGTTGAGCGCCCCCGCTGGGCGGAGCTGATGAGGGCTGGTGTTGATATCTTTGCTCTTGACTATGATGCTATTATTGCTGCCATGTATGCATTGACTGTTAGTGCCGAGGGAGACTGTTACTTGTGTGTGCCGCCTGACCCAGGTATAGAGCCCGCTGCCCTAGGTACTAGTGAGTCTGCTCTCTCTGGTCTGGTGCCCTCTGTGGCTGCTCCCTCCAGTACTGTCCCTACTGCTTGTGAGTCTGCTCTCTCAGGTACTGCACCGGCTGAGGCCTGTCACACCTTCACCCTTGACTCAGGTGCTTCCCACTGTTTCTTTCGTGACAGTACTGAGCTCACACCGCTTCCTGCACCGGTCCCAGTCTCCTTGGCTGACCCCTCGGGGGGCCCAGTCCTTGCACGGTCCACCACTGTGCTCCCTTGTCCGGCGGCTCCGTCTGGCTCGTTGTCGGGTTTCCACCTCCCCTCGTTCTCGACGAACCTGGTGAGCAACGCTGTCATCCAGGATCAGTGGGTTGACACCTTTACCCCTGGAGGACAGCGTGTGGCGATCCTCACGTGCTCCAGGACCGGCCGTCACCTGGCCACGTTTACCCGTCAGCCGGGGTCGAGTCTCTACACACTGACCACTGCGTCTCCTCAGGTCGCTGCTGTCGGTCAGGTGTCCGCGTCAGGTCTGGTAGCCCACGCCTGTGAGTGTCGTTCCCTGTCGCACCAGACTCTTCTCTGGCACCACCGCCTGGGCCACCCCTCCTTGCCACGCCTCCGTGGCATGCACCGTCGCCACCTTGTGTCTGGTCTTCCCAGGTCCCTCCCTCCCCTCCCTGCCTCGCCTGCGCCGCCTTGCCTTCCTTGCGTCGAGGGGCGGCAGCGCGCCGCTCCTCACTCCTCCTCGTTCCCCCCGACAGAGGCTCCTCTGCAGACCCTCCACCTGGACGTGTGGGGCCCAGCCCGCGTTCGTGGCCAGGGCGGTGAGCGGTACTTTTTGCTGGTTGTTGACGACTACTCGCGTTACACCACGGTCTTCCCCTTGCGCACCAAGGGTGAGGTCCCTGCTGTTCTGATCCCTTGGATCCGCACAGTTCGTCTCCAGCTCCGCCGCCGTTTCCGGACAGATCTTCCTGTCCTGCGTCTGCACTCTGACAGAGGTGGTGAGTTTTCCTCCGACCTCTTGAGGACCTTCTGTCAGGCGGAGGGCATCGAGCAGACCTTCACGCTTCCGGACTCCCCACAGCAGAATGGGGTTGCTGAGCGCCGCATTGGCCTGGTCATGGAGGTCGCTCGTACCTCCTTGGTCCATGCGGCGGCTCCCCATTTTCTGTGGCCGTTTGCTGTCCGGTACGCCGCGCATCAGCTCAACCTCTGGCCCCGTGTCTCCTTGCCGGAGACCTCGCCCACACTGCGTTGGACGGGGGAGGTTGGCGATGCGTCGCGCTTCCGGGTGTGGGGTGCTCGTGCCCTTGTCCGCGATACGTCCGCGGACAAGCTCTCCTCCCGCACGCTTCCCTGTGTCTTCCTTGGCTTTGTCCCTGACGCGCCTGGCTGGCAGTTTTACCACCCCACCTCGCGCCGGGTCTTCGCCTCTCAGGACGTCACCTTTGACGAGTCGGTCCCCTTTTACCGTCTCTTCCCCTACCGCACTGCCCCCCTCCCTCCCCCGCCGCTTTTCCTCGCTCCTGGTCCCCCTCCGGTAGACCCCCTTCCCCCTCAGGGTCCTGCTCCTTCAGGTGTCTCTCAGGTAGACCCTCCTCCCGTCGCTGAGCCTGTCGAGGTCACAGGTGACTCAGGTGCTGCTGCGGGTGGTGCTGCTGGGAGTGCTGAGCCTGGGGGTACTGAGCCTGCGGGTGCTGGGCCTGCGTGTACGCAGCCTGGGTGTACTGAGTCTGGGGGTGCTGAGCCTGGGGGTGCTGCGCCTGAGGGTACTGAGCCTGGGGGTGCTGCGACTGAGCCTACGGAGCCTGGGGTTGCTGCGTCTGGGGGTGCTCCGGTTCGGGGTGCTGAGCAGTCTCTCACACAGCAGCAGCTTCGTGACTGGTACGTCCGGCGCTTTCGCCGTCCTCGTGGCCCTGCTGGAGTTGGAGGTTCTGGAGCTGCTCGTCCTGGAGGTGCTCGTACTGGAGGTACTGGAGCTGCCGGGGCTGGTTGTTCTGGGAGCACTGAGGCTGGAGCTGCTGGAGCTGGGGACTCTGGCGCTGGCGGTGCTAGCGGAGTTGGAGCTGCCGGCTCTGGGGGTGCTCTTCCTGGAGGTACTGGAGCTGCTGGAGCTGACGACACTGGAGCTGACGGTTCTGGACACGGTGGTCCTGCTGGTTCTGGAGGTGCTGGCGAGGGGAGGTCTGACGCTGCTGGGGCCTCTGGTGCTGACGTCGCCGACTCTGGGGGTGCTGCGGCGGAGGGTGCTGGTCCTGGTGCTTCTGGTGCTGCGGGTGCTGGAGGTGCTGGCGGAGCTCCGCCGTCGCGCCTGTTCTTCGCTCCACCGTCGCCGTCGGCTTTGCCACCGCCTGACACGGTGCTTCGCCAGGTTCTTTCCCTCCCGTCTTCCACTGGCCTTCCCCTCCAGCCTGGCTCCCCCCTCCCTGCTCCTGTGCCTTACACTGCACAGCCGGACTCGCTTACGGAGCGTCGTGAGCCTGTGTCTCGTCCTGCCTCGCCTGTTCGTGCTGCTCGCACTGCTCGCACTGCGCGCACTGGTCCCACTGGTCGTCGTGTCGCGCGTCCGCGTCCTCCTCCTGTTCCTGGCACGCATATTATGGCCCTTCGTCCTTCCACTGGTCCACAGCGTGTCCCC